TTTCTTTTTTGTGGTCGTTGACGACTACTCCCGCTACACCACAGTGTTCCCCCTGGCGAAGAAGTCTGAGGTGACTTCTACGCTGATCAGGTGGTTGCTGACCACTGAGGGCACTCGTGGTCGTCGAGTCAGCTGTCTTCACTCTGACCGTGGGGGTGAGTTTCGCTCCGGCATTCTCGCTGGATTATGTCGCGAGCAGGGCATTCGTCAGTCCTGGACGCTTCCAGAGTCCCCACAGCAGAATGGGGTTGCTGAGCGCCACATAGGCTTGGTCATGGAGATCGCCCGCACCTCCTTGACTCACGCCCGTGCCCCCCATTTTCTGTGGCCCTACGCGGTTAGGTACGCCGCTCACCAGCTGAACCTCTGGCCACGCGTCTCTCGGCCAGAGGCTTCACCGACCAGTCTTTGGACCGGGTCCCCTGGTGTTGCGTCGAGGTTTCGTGTCGGGGGTTGCTTGGCTCCTGTCCGTGACACTTCCGCGGACAAGCTCTCGCCTCGCGCCGTTCCCTGTGTCTTCCTTGGTTTCCGTGAGGACTCCTCTGACTTCACCTTTTACCACCCTCCCTCTCACCGGTTCTTTGACTCCCGTGACGTCCGTTTCGAGGAGTCCACCCCCTACTACGTCAGGTACCCCAGTCGAGGTCTCCCGGTTCCTCCTCCCCCTCTCTTCCTGACTTCCGCCCCCCCTCCTGCTCCCCCGGTACAGCCTCCCCCCTAGTTCCGCCCCGTCAGGTGTGTCCCAGGCTACCCCTCCCCCCTCGGTAGCCCCTCAGGTGCAGCCTCCTTCCCCCAGTCCTCCTCGCAGCCTGCTGCAGACCCTGCGGGAGCCGGTGCTCGTGGAGAGGGCCCTACAGGTGCTAGCTCTGGGGGTGCTGGAGTTGGAGCTGAGCATGTGGTTGCAGGAGACTCTTGTCTTAGGGGAGCTGGTGTTGGTCCTGCTGACTTTGGGGGTGCTACGTCTGGGGGTGCGGGTGCACCCTCTTCGGGTCCTGGTGAGCCTGGTCGTGTTGCTGTTGGTGGTGCTGACTCTGGGGGTGGTGCGCCAGGTGCTTTGGAGGGCAGTCCCGGGGCTGCCGCAGCCCCCGACACTACTCCTCCCCCCCACCCCTACCCGACCCGGCACCAGGCTCGTGTTCGCCGTGCCCGTGAGGAGCAGCTGGAGTTGGAGAGAGAGGAGAGAGAGTTGCAGCGGCTGGAGGAGCAGCAGCAGCAGCAGGAGCAGCTGCAGCAGCTGAAGCTGGAGCCGCCGCAGCAGCAGGAGGCGCAGCAGCTGGAGCCGCTACAGCAGCAGGAGGCGCAGCAGCAGCCGCCGCAGCAGCAGCAGCAGCCGCCGCCGCCGCCGCCGCCGCAGCAGCAGCAGCAGCCGCCGCCTCCTCCTCCTGTCTCCGGTCTTCGGGCCCTCGGTCTCCCCTCCCGCTCTCCTTCCTCCTCCCCCTCTCCTCCCGTCTCGGGTCCTCCGCTTCCTCCTCCTGACCCCTCCTCGGCTGTTTTCCCTCGTTCTCACCCTCCATTGTCCCCTCCTCCTCAGACTTGGGCCTCTCGTCGCTCCCCTCGTGCTCGTCCCTCGTCTCCTATTCTTGTTACTGACCTTCGTACTGCCCTCTTTCGTTCTAGTCCGCCTCGTTCGTCTCCGTCTCTCCTTCCGTCTCCTCCTGAGTCGGCCTTCACTGCTTCTCTCTCTACTCCTGTCACTGACTACTACCGCACGTACCGTCCTGTTCTCTCTCGTGTTCTCGCCTCTCTTGTTACCGACCCTCGTGCCTTTGTCTCCTCTGTCTCCGCCTTTACTGCCGCAGTCACTGAGTTTGCCTCCACTCGCCGCCTTGACTACGCCACCGGTCTTGTGGCTGCTCCTCCTACCAGTCCTCTGGCCGTCAGGGGTGAGTCTGCCCTTGGCTGTGACGCCCTAGAGGACAGGCAGTTTGAGCTAGAGTTCCTGGCAGCCGCTTCCCCACATCTCTGTGCCATGCTGCTCGCCCCTGAGGGAGACCCCGACGCCCTTGACATACCGACTCCTTGCACTTACGCTGAGGCAGTGTCAGGGCCTTGGGCCTCTCAGTGGAGAGCTACCATGGACGCAGAGATGGCCTCCTACAGATCCACAGGCACCTACGTCGACGAGGTTCCCCCCCCTGGGGCGAACGTAGTTGATGGCATGTGGATCTACAGGGTGAAGCGGCCACCGGGATCTCCTCCGGTATTCAAGGCGCGCTACGTGGCTAGAGGTTTCAGTCAGCGCGAGGGAGTTGACTTCTTTCAGACCTTCGCGCCTACCCCGAAGATGACCACTCTTCGGGTGTTACTGCATGTAGCAGCACAGAGAGACTATGAGTTACACTCTCTCGACTTCTCCACTGCTTTCCTTCAGGGTAGCTTACACAAGGAGGTCTGGCTGCGTCGTTCCTCTGCCTTCACTGACATTTTCCCTCCTGGGACCCAGTGGAGGCTGAGGCGACCTGTCTACGGTCTTCGTCGGGCTCCTCGTGAGTGGCACGACACTCTTCGTTCTACCCTCTCTGACCTTGGGTTCCAGCCGTCTTCTGCCGACCCGTCGCTATTCATTCGTCGTGGCTCCACACCGTTCTTTGTTCTGGTCTACGTCGACGACCTGGTTTTCGCCACTGCTGACAGGGTTGCCTTGGCATACGTGAAGTCCGAACTGCAGAAGAGGCACACGTGCACTGACCTTGGTGAGCTGCGCCACTACCTTGGCCTGCAGATCACCAGGGACAGAGCTGCTCGCACCATTACACTCTCACAGTCACACATGGTGCAGCAGGTCCTTCAGTGTTCGAGCTTCAGCACTCCACAGTACAGCGCACACCTCTTGCTGTTGACCACAGACTTACTGGACCCTTTCCTGACGAGCCGTTTGAGTCTAGTGGTCCCTACGCAAAGCTGGTGGGCTGCCTCATGTACCTGATGACTTGCACTCGCCTGGACCTCGCCTTCCCTCTCAGCATCCTTGCTCGCTTTGTTGCGCCAGGGAGACACCGTCCTGTTCACTGGACGGCAGCTGTGAGGGTGGCGAAGTACCTAGCGACGACATCAGGCGTGGGGCTAGTTCTTGGAGGGCAGCAGCCTGTCGTACTTACTGGTCACTGTGACTCTTCTTACGCTGACGACGCTGAGACTCATAGGTCTACTCAGGGGTACTGTTTCAGCTTGGGTTCTGGAGCTGTTTCGTGGCGGTCCACGCGCTCCTCTTCGGTCTCGACCTCTACAGCTGAGGCTGAGATCTACGCTGGTGCCATGGCGGCACAGGAGCTGCGTTGGTTGACCTTCTTGCTCGCCGACCTTGGTGAGCGGCCGAGCTCTGCACCGACCTTGTTCACTAACAACAAGGCGTTGATTCTCCTTTGTCGAGAGCCGCGACTGGAGAGCAGAGTGAAGCACATTAACGTCAGGTACTTTCTTCTGCAAGAGTTGCAGAGACGTGGACAGGCTCGCTTCGAGTTTGTGGAGTCCGATGCCAACACTGCAGACATCTTCACCAAGGCGCTTCCGCCTTGTGACCACCAGAGGTGTTGTGTGCAGTTAGGCCTTGTTGACACAGTTTCTAGTCGTGTATAGGCTTGAGTCTACTGTTTGCTTTGCTTGTACTCTTGCTATACACACTTGTGAACTCTCGAACTGGCCTTGTGGCCCCTGTTGCTTGTGCTCAGAGTGTGTGGTGACGTTGTGATCCACCCTGAGCTTTGTTTCTTTGTGACTGGTCTTATGACCGTACACTTTTGGTTTTGCTTGACACCCCTCACTTAGGCTATGGGGGTGTGTCAAATGTTGTAGCCTGTAGTGAGGTTTGTCTTAGGGGGTACAGATGTTAGGGTTTGTTATATGTACCCCAACTCAGATCAATGAACCAACACTTTCATTCTTGACAATTATCCTGATAAAATCAGCCCTGAGCAGCACCAGCAGCAGAGTCAATCATTCCAATTATTCCGCTTCCCGCGGCTTTTCGGAACGCCGAAGATCCCCCGCTTATCCGCGCTATCTGCCCCGCTCGCCCGCCACCGCGCACCTTCCTGCCTTCCCAGCACCCGCCTCCGCTCACCCCAGCGTCCGATTTCCGCAGCAGCGTCGCGCGCGGAACGACGGAAGCGTCCACGCAGGCGACGGCGGAAGCGGAAGCAGCGGCTGGCGCGGGCAAAAGCGCGCGCCCGTTCGCGAATGCGGTCGCGGTGCTTCCGCCGTGAGTTGGGATTTGCGGCAGCCGGGAGGAGGAGCGAGGCTCAGATCATGGCTTCCTTTCACCGGGGAGCCCTATGGACGGGAGCATTGAGTCCGACTGGTCCGCAACCACGTGGTAGATTCCTATTGGCGTCACAGAGTGTAGTATGGCCTCACTTCGGGTTTGACACAAGCAGTACAGTATATAACATTCCCGACCAGCAGGAAAATAGTGAGGGTGCGGGACATCCCAGGTCAAGACTTGGGAAACGTTCAAAAAGTGTACCGCAACATACCTTCTATCAACAGGCTCGCGCGTTCTAAAACGCTTGTTACCGAAACAAGCCATCTTGAACCAAGACGTTCCGCGCCCTGAGGGGCGGGAACGAGTATAGAGCTTCTGGGGCGTACACACTATCGTAGGTCGTGAAAAATATGGGTTGCCTTGCCTTACCAGCCCTGGTGTCTACTAACTCTTCTCTCTGTTTTTCCATCTGTGGGCCCTTGAAATAGGGTAAGTCTAGTTTTGTCAGGATACGATATTTCAGTGTGTAAATAACAAGATTACAGTACAATCCTACACTAGCCCAGGAAGTACGGTACAAGGCTTCAGTTGTTCTAAGCTTCTGCCGCATACCTAAACTGTTCAAAAGGCTTCGGCTACCTGAATATGACCCTGATGCTAGCATAATACTCTAATTTAAACACTCAACGACACAGCACGTTACAGGGTATATCCCACCCATGGCAACCACACAAAACATTTTCCCCTCAGCTGCTTGTTTTGTTGTGATATGGTAGTGTTGAACGATCGGAGTTTGGTGTCACTTGGGGTTGGCCTTGCCCTGTTGCTGCTGGAAGGCGGCGATGCGGCGGCGGGCGACAGCAGCAGCGGTGGAGCGGCGGTAGTCCTCGGCCTCCTCCTCCCACCGCGGCCGGTGCCGCTTCTCCTCTGACTTGTCCCACTCCATGGCCCTCCTCAGCGGCAGCGCCACCAGCACCACCTGCGTGCACGTGACAGACATGAGGGCAGGTGAGCGATGAGGGTGGGGTGGGAGATGAGGGTAGGGTGAGGGATGAGGGTAGGGTGAGGGATAAGGGGAAGGTGAAGGATGAGGGTGGGGTGAGGGAGGAGGGTAGGGTGAGGGATGAGGATAGGGTGAGGGATAGGGATAGAGTGAGGGATGAGGGTGGGGTGAGAGAGGAGGGCACGTACCAGATGTGGTTAGGGTGGGAAATGCGGGTAGGATGAGATGAGAAACGCGGGCAGGTGAGTATGCGAATAGGTTGGACGATAAGGGCGGGTGAGACATGCAGTTGAAAGGATGGAGAGTAAACAAGCAGCTGGTGCTGCAGCAGTTTCAGCAACAAGAGCAAAAAAAAGGCGGGGAGCAAGCGGGGGAGTGTCGGGTGCAAGGGGGAGGGCAGACCAAAAGGGGGGGAGGGCAGACCAAAAGGGGGGGAGGGCAGACCAAAAGGGGGGGAGGGCAGACCAAAAGGGGGGGAGGGCAGACCAAAAGGGGGGGAGGGCAGACCAAAAGGGGGGGAGGGCAGACCAAAAGGGGGGGAGGGCAGACCAAAAGGGGGGGAGGGCAGACCAAAAGGGGGGGAGGGCAGACCAGAAGGGGGGGAGGGCAGACCAAAAGGGGGGGAGGGCAGACCAAAAGGGGGGGAGGGCAGACCAAAAGGGGGGGAGGGCGCGGGGGGGTCCAAGTGGGAGGGGGAGGCGGACCTGCAGGGCGAGGAGGAAGGGGATGAGCAGCTTGCCGGCGCGGTTGGGGTTGAAGCCCCGCGCCATGCGCTCATCCACCCTCACCACCGGCTGCCTCCTCAGCGCCACTGCCACTAGCGCCTCCACCAGGCATGGAAACCATGCCCGCCCGTCTGGGAGAATCTGCACAGCGGGAGAGGGGGGTGGGGTGGGTTGGGGTTGAAGCCCCTGGCCATGCACTCGTCCACCGGCTGCTGCTTCAGCGCCACGCCCACCACCGCCTCCACCAGACACGGGAACCATGCGCGGCCATCTGGTAGGATCTGCAGCGGTATGTGGGTGTGGGGTGATTTGGGTTTGGTGAGAAGTGGTGGCACCAGGAGGGCTGGCGCCTCAGCGCCACGCCCACCACCGCCTCCACCAGGCATGGGAACCACGCGCCGCCATCAGTCGGGTAGGATCTGCACGGGTGTGTGGGGGGTGCGATGTGCGATACATGGTGGCAAGATGATGGGTGCGAGACAGATTGCGAGGAAGAGGCCGCGAGAGGGGAGTTGAGGCGTGGCGCCACACGGTCCTTGAGTGAAGAGTGGGCACTATGGCCTGTGAGACGTGCCATGGGATGGGATGGGACGCAGAGGTGGTCAGCAAGCAGCAGCAGGGGTAAGATGGAACACGACACCCACGTGCGGGAGGGCACCCAGTGAAGGGGCGAGCAGCAGGGGCGGACAGGCGACACACGGGTTGAGGTGCAGTTGAGAACAGCGCTCTGCGACGACACCACAGGGGGGCGAGGCGAGAGGTGCCCACGGTGAGGCGAGGCGAGAGCTCACCTTCTCACCGTCGTCGTTGGTTCGACAGCGCCCCTCCATGCTCTCCACTAGCGCCACTGGCACCTGCCAAGCCATGCCATGCCATGCCACGCCAGGCCAGGCCAAGTCATACCCCATACCATGCCATGCCAAGCCAAGCCATGCCCCATGCCATGCCATCCAATACCATGCCATGTGACGCATGTTGCATTATGACATGCAACATGAAAATGACAAAAGGAAATGGATATCAGGGGCCATGCTGCTGCAAAGCAAGCATTCCTGCCTGCCTCGGCCACTGTGCCCCATGTGGCGGCCCTTGCACCCGCCTTCTCATCCAGCCGTAGCCCCTTCCCTCACGCGCTGCCTACTGCCACTCCAACCCACGCACCACCACCCACTAGTTACCACCATCCCTCGCCCCTAGCCCCTCACCTCGTCACCCTCGCCCCTCGCCCCCTCGCCCTCACCTCATCGTTCCTCCCCAGGCGGCCCTGCTTGCGGATCATCCCCAGCAGCGCGTCGCTGCGCGCCGCCACGAAGTCGCCGAAGGGGCGCCCGTCCGACGGCGACAGCTGCGCGCGCGTCAACACCACCACCGCGCGCTTCCAGATCTGATCAGCGCGCAGAGGGGCACGCAGGGGGCACGCAGGGGTCACGCAGGGGTCACGCAGGGGTCACGCAGGGGTCACGCAGGGGTCACGCAGGGGGGGCACGGAGGGGGCACGCAGGGGGGGCACACAGTGGGGGCACGCAAGCGGCGAGGGGCGCGAGATGGGCCGGGTATGGCTGGGAGGGGGGGGGGGAAGGGAGGGAGGGAGGAGGGGGGCAACGCGCAACACGACGAGAAGGAAGAGGTGCAGAGAGGGGGTGCCTCGAGGGGGACGGGGGGGCGAGGAGGGGTACCTGGGGGCAGGGAGCGGGGAGGACAGCGCGCACCTGCGGGCCGAAGGCGTTGGAGATGCCCTGCGCGACGAGCGCGTCGATGGTGTCCACTCGGTACGCGTCCAGCCGCTCCACATAGAGCAGCACGTCCACCGTGCGCCCCACTAGCGAACTAGGGTGGGGAAGAGGGGGGCGGGGTGGTGGGGGGGGGACACTGAAAGCACGAAGAGCGTCCAGCCGCTCCACATACAGCAGCACGTCCACGCTCCTCCCCACCAGCGCGCTACACGCATACAGGGCGGAGGGGCGGGAGGCGGGCGGGCAGCGGGAGTAGAGCACGGAGGGCGGAGACGCCGGGTTGGGAGGCGAGGGGCATTGATGATGATGATGGGGCATGATGGCGAGGGAAAGGAGCACAGTATGGTGCGATGGCAGGCGGATGATGATGATGATGATGATGATGATGATGATGATGATGATGATGATGATGATGATGATGATGATGATGATGATGATGATGATGATGATGATGATGATGATGATGATGATGATGATGATGATGATGATGATGATGATGATGATGATGGAATCGCGGAGTGCTCGCTCGCACCATGATGTGCATGCAGCCGACCAGCACTCCCCTCAAGGCGGACTCTCCTCTCATCACACCGCATGGCGCATGCGGCGCGGCGCGCCACTGCCTGCGGCGCGACTCACTGCAGGATGGCGTCGAGCGCGGCGCGGTTGACGGTGCCGGCGTCGACGAGGCCGGGCGTGTCGATGACGTGCAACGTGGCGCCGCCGTATTGGCGCACGGCCTCGCGCGGGTGCGCGGACGCCTGGAAGCCCGACGTGGGGAAGAGGCGCTCCCCCAGCAGCGCGTTGAGCGTGGCGCTCTTGCCCACGCTGCCCTTGCCCACCGCCACTATCGTCACCGTCTCCTTGCCCTGCTCGCACACACGCACACATGCACGCACGAACAGAGGGCAAGGAGGGGAGGGACGCGGGAGGAGACAAAAGAGTGGGCATCGCGCTCTTGCCCACCGCCACTATCGTCGCCGTCTCCTTGCCCTGCGAGCATGCAGGCGCGCACGCACAGGCACAGGGGCGCACACAGGGCAGGGCGCGGAGGGACGCGGGAGGAAACAGCAAGTGAGCGTCGCGCTCTTGCCCACGCTGCCCTTGCCCACCGCCACCAACGTCACCTTCACCGTCTCCTTGCCCTGCGAGCCCGCTCGCCCGCAGCACACGCACAAAGCAGCACACACACGCACGCGCGAACAGCGGGGAAGGCGCGGATGGACGCGGGAGGAGACAGAGAGTGAGCGACGCGTTTCGCAGAAACCAATCCGTGCAGTCGATTTGACTTCCCTTGCGCCATGATTCCTCTCAGCAAAGCATTGACTCTTAAGACTTTTCAATGTTCCCACCACCACCGGCTCTCCCCCCCCGTCTGCCTAAGCAATGGGTGGAGCTCTACCGTTGCACGTCAGCAAGCTCGCCACACACGCCCGCCCCGTGCTCGAACGCGCGCGTTGACCCGGCCAGTGCGCGAACGCGCCAACACCGAGCACGTCAGCCGCTCTAATCGACGATCGTGTCGGCGGACGACCGCGATGCACTCGGACCGCCCGACAATCACGACGGGGGAGCTGTCGCGACGCGAAGTGTGTTTAGGGCACGCTCGCGTGCGATGGATGGCAGAGCTCGCGATGGCAGAGCTCGCGATGGCGCATCCTGGAGGGCAAGCAGCGGTCTGCTGCCACTGCATTTGCTAGCAACGCCCCACACACAACTGGCTCCCCACACACTGCATTAGAAACCGTCGTCGCGTGAAAAGACCAAGTCAGCAAACCGTCGTCGTGCCTGTTCAATTAGCCGGTCGATCGCCGAGGTGATGACGGACCGCGACACCTCCGGTTGTTGCTCCACCGCCGCCCACTCCTGCGGCTGTGCCGGCTCCGCTGCCATCGCACGTCGCTAACGACACACGGTCGCTTGTGTGACGACGATCCTCGCCGGTGGAGACGGTGAGCGCAACGAGCAGATCGAAATGGAAAGGGCGCTGCGACTGAGAGTACGAGCTGAAGAGCGGTGGCGAGTTTATCGCGAAGGGAGAGAAAGTAAACCCTAGACCGCTGACCAGCAGCATGTGCTCATGAAACCTGTTTGAGGTGGATGTGGTGGATTGACTCGCTGAAGTGTACTCCAAGTTTGTGTACGGTGACATGAACGACTGTAACGAAATTAGAATTCTCTTACGTCGCAAATGCAGCAACTCGTAGAACCCTCTTTCCACACGTGCCCTTCAAAAATTCAATTGTTCGAAGATTCTAGAAATCTACTCTATCCGAACCGCGACACCAAACCCTCAACGCGGTCGTCTCGTTCGACGTAACTCTTGACAGAATTCACTCTATGCGAGCTTTACTCTTCGCGTTCCGAGGTATCGCGTCTCTGTCGTTCGCCACGCCAGTGTATTTGCGATTAAAGCTTGCGAACAAGCGGAACACATTGAATAAGACGTGAGCCCGTCACGCATCGCGTTCTGGTCGGCCTCGCCACAACTCTTGGCCCCTAGAGAAGCTAGGTACGCGCGCCGTCGCCGCGCGGCCGTGCATGGCGGAGCACCACATGATGCTGGACCTGCAAGCGCGCGGCATGCACGCTGCGTCGCTACCGTTCCAACCGCACCACCCCGCCGCCCTCGCCCACGTGCATCCGCACCACCTCCAACCGCCGCTGCCGCCGCCGCCGCCGGGCCTTCAGCATCAGCTGTCGCAGCAGCACGCGCCGCCACATGCGCTCCCGTCACAGCACACGTCGCAGCACCCGTCGCAACACCCGTCGCAGCACCCGTCGCAGCAGCACCAACACCGCGCACTGCAGCACCAGCCCGCGCAGCAGCAGCAGCAACAACAGCAGCAGCAAGGCCTCGGCATGGGTATCGCGCAGCCGGGGACTTCCCAGCATCAGCCGCCACGTCATCATCAGCAACACCTCGCGCTCGTGCAGCACCTTGGCGGAGCTGACGTGGAGGTGGGCATGGATGACGTGGACGTGGCGGAGGGCGACGAGGGCGTGATGGACGACGACGGCGACGACGACGGCGGCGAGCACGGCGGCGCGGGGTCGGGCGAGCACGACCACGACGGCGTCATGGCCGCCGGCGACGGCGGAATGGGCGGCGCGATTCGCGGCGGCGGGCCGAACATGCTGTCGCTGTCGTACCACGGCGAGGTGTACGTCTTCGACTGCGTGCCGCCCGAAAAGGTGCGCCGCGCGGGGAGGGGGGAGCGAGGGCGGAAAGGGGAGGGGGGATTGGGAGCTGTACGTCTTCGACTGCGTGCTGCCCGAAAAGGTGCGCCGCGCGCATGGGAGGGGGAAATGGGGGGACTGGCTGTGTGGGCAGTTTGGGGCAACGGGCTGCGCGGATGGGGCAGGGGGTTGCCATGGTAGAGCGGAGGCGGACGAGAGGAGTGCAGTGCAGAGCGCAGGGGTGGTGAAGCGGTGCACGGTGAGGTGGTGCACGGTGAGGTGGTGCACGGTGAGGTGGTGCACGGTGAGGTGGTGCACGGTAAGGTGGTGCACGGTAAGGTGGTGCACGGTGAGGTGGTGCACGGTGAGGGCTGTCGCGTGGGGCTGGAAAGGTGGGTTGGGGAGATGCGATGCCTTTATGAACTAGATGCGAAGGCGTTTCAAGGGAGGTATTGGAGCTGGATACATGATTCCTCTATGTACCACATCGCAAATAGGATAGATGTTTCATGGCCACATATTGGAGAGATTTTTTTTGTGAAGGGGCAAAGTTGTGCAAGGCTTGGCACATGGAACACGAGGGAAGGCAGTGCTCATGTGCCCTGCTGACCCATGCTGCCCTGTGTGCTGCCCTGTGTGCTGCCCTGTGTGCTGCCCTGTGTGCTGCCCTGTGTGCTGGTTTCGCTGTGATGCAGGTGCAGGCGGTGCTGCTGCTGCTGGGAGGCAGGGAGGTGCCGCCATCCATGGCGGGCAGTGTTCCCCAGCACCACTTCAAGGTGCCCCCCGCCCACTCCCCCCCTCTCCCTCCCCCTCCCCCTCCCCCTCCCCCTCCCCCTCCCCCTCCCGCTCTTCCGCCGTCCTCCTACCCGTCCTCTTTTTCACCCCTCCCACCTCCTGCCCTCGTCCTCTCCTTCCCACCTCGTTCATGCCGCTCATTCTCACTTCCTACATTCCTTCTCGTTGTCCCACAGGCGTCCCTCCTTCCCTTCCCTTCCCCTCATCTTCCTGCGTCCATGCACGTGCGGGTGATGTCATGCACCCCCACCTTCACCCACCTTCACCTGCCTTCACCGCTGCTCGCTGCGTCGGTCTCCTTGAGGGTGTTGATGCCTCTGAACGTGCGCCCGCCCTTCAGCCTGCCTTTCCTTTCCGATGCCCCTCCTGTCCTAGATTCCAATCGTAATCCATCCATCCATCCATCCATCCATCCATCCACCCATGATGTTTTCTCTCCCTTATCTGTCACTATGCTCTTTCTGCTCCCTCCCCCTTGGTCTCCTCGTCCCTCCCCCTTGGTCTCCTCGTCCCTCCCACCCCTCTCCTCACACCCTCGCCCCTGCCCTCCCATCTCCCTCGCTCCATATGTTCCCCCGTCCTCCCTGTCACGCACACAACCGCCATGGCTAGCAGCATGTGGGGGGGGGAGTGGGGGGCGACCTGCCGGTGCGGCTGAACCAGCCGCAGCGCCTGGCGTCTCTCAACCGCTTCCGGGAGAAGCGCAAGGAGCGCAACTTCGACAAGAAGATCCGCTACAGCGTGCGCAAGGAGGTGGCGCAGAGGTGAGATCCGCTACAGCGTGCGCAAGGAGGTGGCGCAGAGGTGAGGGTTTGTAGCTTACCAAGAATTGAGCCTTAGATGCTCGTGTATCTTGAGCCTCTTGAAAATACCCCTGGATACAATGTCACGCGAATTTGTTCACGGGAAGGAAAAGTCAGCAACAGTTTCAAGCTCTTTTTTTTTTGGCTCGTAAGTAGTGAGGGGCACTGTAGCATAGGTACCATGGTTTCTTTCCGGGACCGAGGGACTCTCGCAAGCTAAATTGTGAGCAAACCCCTCCCTCCCCCAAATGTCTCAAGGTCTTATATGGTGTCACAAGCACTAGTTGCACACCTTTTGTTTCCACATGGAAAGAAGACTCTAGAGACCACAAGTAGGTTCTTTCACCCACGAGTTTCAAATGTAAGATGCTCTCGGGCCCAACGGGGTGGTGCAGATGGTGTGGGGCGTGGTTGTGTGGGGCGTGGTTGTGTGGGGCATGCTTGTGTGTGTGGGGCATGCTTGTGTGTGTGGGGCATGCTCGTGTGTGTGGGGCATGCTTGTGTGGTGCACCTCTCTAGATGCTGCTTCACCATCACTTCCGTGTCCTTTCTGTGTCCCTGCCCCTTGCCTGCGTGCTCTCCGCATTCCCCACGGCCCGCCATGCACGGAGGGGCTTCTTGGATACGCCTCATCGTGCACCATCACTTCCATTTCCTTTCCGTTCCCCCCCACCCCACACTCCCCCCCCCCCCCTCTCCTTGCCTGCGGCCTCTCCGCATTCCCCATGGCCCGCCATGCACGGAGGGGAGCAGGATGTGTCGCAAGAAGGGGCAGTTCGCGTCCAACCGTGGGGGCGGTGCCTTCTTTGAGGATGCGCCGCCCGACATGGGGGAGAGCGCCGCCCACGACCGCCCCGATGCCGCCCCTGAAGCCATGTGAGCCCCTGAAGCCATGTGAGCCCCTGAAGACATGTGAGCCCTGAAGCCATGTGAGCCCCTGAAGCCATGTGAGCCCCTGAAGCCATGTGAGCCCCTGAAGCCATGTGAGCCCCTGAAGCCATGTGAGCCACTCTCTCCCTCCCACCCCTCCCACCCCTCCCATAGCTCCCATAGCTCCCACAGCTCCCATCGCTCCCATCGCTCCCATCGCTCCCATCGCTCCCATCGCTCCCATCGCTCCCATCGCTCCCATCGCTCCCATCAGTCCCATCCCGCACGTCGCTCCCACCTCTAGCATCGCTCCCACCTCGAGCATCGCTCCCACCTCTAGCATCGCTCCCACCTCGAGCATCGCTCCTACCTCTAGCATCGCTCCCACCTCTAGCATCGCTCCCACCTCTAGCATCGCTCCCACCTCTAGCATCACTCCCACCTCTAGCATCGCTCCCACCTCTAGCATCGCTCCCACCTCTAGCATCGCTCCCACCTCGAGCATCGCTCCCACCTCTAGCATCGCTCCCACCTCTAGCATCGCTCCCACCTCTAGCATCACTCCCACCTCTAGCATCGCTCCCACCTCTAGCATCGCTCCCACCTCGAGCATCGCTCCCACCTCTAGCATCGCTCCCACCTCTAGCATCGCTCCCACCTCTAGCATCGCTCCCACCTCTAGCATCACTCCCACCTCTAGCATCGCTCCCACCTCTAGCATCGCTCCCACCTCTAGCATCACTCCCACCTCTAGCATCACTCCCACCTCTAGCATCGCTCCCACCTCTAGCATCGCTCCCACCTCTAGCATCACTCCCACCTCTAGCATCGCTCCCACCTCTAGCATCGCTCCCACCTCTAGCATCACTCCCACCTCTAGCATCGCTCCCACCTCTAGCATCGCTCCCACCTCTAGCATCGCTCCCATCCGTCCATCCGCACGTGGTGCTCATCGTTCCGACCAGTTGGCGGCTGTGTAAAGAGCCTTCCATGGATCATTCCGTCTCATTCCCTCCCACAATGCATGCCGCCCCACAATGCATGCTGCCCCACAATGCATGCCCCCCCCACAATGCATGCCGCCCCACAATGCATGCCCCCCCCACAATGCATGCCCCCCCCACAATGCATGCCCCTCCCACCATGCATGCCCCCCCCACAATGCATGCCCCTCCCACCATGCACGACCCTTCCCCCCGCCACCATGCATGCCGCTCCCACCATGCATGCCGCTCCCACCATGCATGCCGCTCCCACCATGCATGCCACTCCCACCATGCATGCCACTCCCACCATGCATGCCCCTCCCTCCCACCATGCATGCCACTCCCACCATGCATGCCACTCCCATCATGCATGCCACTCCCACCATGCACGACCCTTCCCCCCGCCACCATGCATGCCGCTCCCACCATGCATGCCGCTCCCACCATGCATGCCACTCCCACCATGCATGCCACTCCCACCATGCATGCCACTCCCACCATGCATGCCACTCCCACCATGCACGACCCTTCCCCCCGCCACCATGCATGCCACTCCCACCATGCATGCCACTCCCACCATGCATGCCCCTCCCTCCCACCATGCATGCCACTCCCACCATGCATGCCCCTCCCTCCCACCATGCATGCCCCCCCCCCCCCCCACCACCACGCTGCAGCTGCCAGCACTGCGGCACAGGGGAGAAGGCCACCCCCATGATGCGCCCACCACCATGCGTGCCCCCCTCTTCCCCCCCCTACCGTGCAGCTGCCAGCACTGCGGCACGGGGGAGAAGGCCACCCCCATGATGCGCCGCGGGCCGCAGGGGCCGCGCACCCTCTGCAACGCATGCGGGCTCATGTGGGCCAACAAGGTGCGTGCGGCTCATGTGGGCCAACAAGGTGCGTGCGGCTCATGTGGGCCAACAAGGTGCGTGCGGCTCATGTGGGCCAACAAGGTGCGTGCGGCTCATGTGGGCCCACAAGGTGCGTGCGGGCAGTGAAGATGAGCGGGCGAGCACATGAGGGGGCGAGCACATGAGGGGGCGAGCACATGAGGGGGCGAGCACATGAGGGGGCGAGCACATGAGCGGGCGAGCACATGAGGGGGCGAGCACATGAGGGGGCGAGCACATGAGGGGGCGAGCACATGAGGGGGCGAGCACATGAGGGGGGAGGGAATCGCTGTGCAACGAGGGTGCTCCTCGCAGCCGCACTGCTTCGCCCTGCCATCTCTCCACCTGCCCTCCCACCTGCCCTACTCCCAAGCCTCATGCGCGGTGCGGCGTCTCTGCACACTTTGCTGCCTTCTCAGCTTTTTCCTTCTTTCGTCTCCTCCCCATCTCTCCCCCTCCCCCGGCCTCTCCTGTACCCATTTCCCCTACTCTCCTCCACGTGTACCACCCAGGGTGTGCTACGGGACCTCAGCAAGGGCCCGCCCGCCCACCATCCCCTGTACGCCTACCTCCCCCTCTTCCCCCCCTCACCCCTCTCCGCCTCCACCCCTCTCGTGCCACACAGGGTGTGCTGCGGGATCTGAGCAAGGGCCCGCCCACCATCCCCGTGCTCTCACAAATGCCATCCGCGCCAGCCGGGGTGCAACCCCCCTTTCCCCCCCCCCCCTTCTCCCCCCCTCCGCCCATACAGGGTGTGCTACGGAATCTAAGCAATGGCCCGCCCACCATCCCCGTGCTCTCCCCCTCACACCTCTCCACCTTCTCCCCCCTCTATCCCACCACCCAGGGTGTGCTACGGGACCTCAGCAAGGGCCCGCCTGCCATCCCCGTGCTCTCCCAAATGCCATCCGCGCCATCAGGGGTGCAGCCTGGAGCAGCGGGGGCGGCAGGGGGCGCAGCAGGCGGTGCAATGGCCGCGATGCATGGCATGGCAGCGGGCATGGGGGCTGGAGTGGGGGCTGGTGCAGAGGCGGAGGCAGAGGCAGGTGGGGGGGCAGGGTTGCCACATCAAGTGCAGCAGCAGGAAGAGCAGCAGGAGCAGGTTGAGCAGGCAGCACAGCAGCAGCCGCACTTCTTGCAACAGGTGGGTGAAACCCCTCTTCACTCTCTGCCTGGTTAAAGAGATGCTGGAAGTACTTAATAGAAAGGCAGTGGAGAAAGCCCAAGCTTGCATCTCTGCACCCTAAGGCCTTGTGGGAGCTCGGTTGTCGCAACTTTGCACTCGCACGTTTTATGCTCCCCCCTTCCCCGGCCCCGTTGGCTTGTTGCTTGCTCGGCGCATTCCAAGTGAATGCTCCGCTCTGCTGCGAGCATAAGGTGAAAACGATGCTGGCACATAGGTTCGCACAGTGGTCAAGTCTTGTGCCACGTGTGCCACGTATCCCACATGTGCCTTGCACCCCACTGAACCGGCCCAACCTCTTGCCCGCCCTCGTGTGCGCCACCTTTGCTGCCACACAGACCATCCGCTTCTCCAACTTCGCCCCTCACTGCCGCCCCTCACTGCCGCCCCTCACTGCCGCCCCTCACTGCCGCCCCTCACTGCCGCCCCTCACTGCCGCCCCTCACTGCCACCCCTCACTGCCACCCCTCACTGCCACCCCTCACTGCCGCCCCTCACTGCCACCCCTCACTGCCACCCCTCTCGTGTGTGCCTCTGCCCCTCCTCTTCCGCGCAGGGCCCTGCAAGCACGGCTGCTGTGGCAGCACACGCCACGGAAGTGGGGTTCCCCGCCCAGCCCGCCCGCCTGCCCGCTCACCGTCACCCTCTCGCGTGTGCCACTGCCCCTCCCCCCGCCCAGGGCTCTGCGAGTGCCGCTGCTGTGGCAGCAGACTCCACGGAAGTGGGGTACCCCGCCCAGCCCGCCCGCCTGCCCCCGCACCACCTGCAGCACCTGCACCACCTGGGCTTGGGCGCTCAGCACGCGGGGGAGGGGGTGGCGCAGGAGCAGCAGCAGGAGGAGCAGGAGGAGCAGGATGGCAAGGGCCAGGAGCAGGAGCAGGCGACACATGAGCTGCAGTTGTCTGAAAGGGAGCAGCAAGATGGGGATGAGGAGGGCGGGCTGGGAGGGGAGGGGCAGATTGGGGTGAAGAGGAGGCGAGAGGAGCTAGGGGAGGGAGCGGACGACACTGATGGGGAGGAGGGAGGGGTGGGGGGGCGCACTGGGGGCGGTGGGGTGGAGGGCGGGGCGAGAGGGGGTGAGGAAGGGGGAGGGGGGGGAGGGGGAGGGTGGAATGGAGGAGAGTGCGTTTGGCATGGGAGGGACCGAGAGGGGCCGTGGGGATGGGCGGGGAGGGGCGGGAGAGTGGGTCAGGGAAGGGGAGGGGGAGGAGGGGGAGGACGCAGCGGATAGAAGGGAAACGAGGTTGTCAGGAGAAGCAGAGGAGGATGAGGAGGTGGAGGAGGGGCGGCAGCGGAGGGCAGGAGGCGAAGGGGTGGAGGAAGGGGAGAGAAGCGAGGGAGAGGGAAAGGTGGATAGTCCGAGCTAAGGCAGGGGGTTGTGGGGCAAGCAGGGAGGAGAGGAGAGCGCTCACACGCATGCGTGCAGCTGTTGGCGTGGTGCTCGCACGCTTGCCATTCCCAGCCATTGAGCGAATCAAGCAGCAGTTTATCACCACATTGCCTTGCCTCCCTCCCTGGACTGCTTATGGCTGGCTGGCTGGTCATTTCTTTTTTTCCCCGAGTTCACTCGCTCCCACTTGCATGGAGCGAGTCAGTGCCTTGCCTTGGAGGGGAAAATGCCTGACTGCAAGGGTGCCCATTGCTCAAGGCACGTGTCGAGTTCGATTGGAAAGTGATTGGTGCACCGGTTTGTTTGTTTGCATATCTGTGGGGCCCCTTGAGGACAGCAACAAAACAACATTAAATAGTGTGATAGGCGTGTTGTCCTGGGCGACCCCTGTGACCTGTCACAGTGCCTCTTCTTTATGGCTACAATATCCAGCCTGCTCACACTTTTTCACAAATTTTGAAGTCTAACCCTGTACTGTACCGTATATTATGCATTGTGCAAGTGGCAAGTCCTTCGGGTTTTTCAACCCCAAACCTGCACCCAGCCATCTCGCAACTCCGCGACTTCGACGTAGCTAGCGTTGCTATATTACCGTAGTACTTGGCTTCATTATTCGTATTTTGTTCCGCTTTATTGAATTCTGTGCACTCTTTCATTACAACTCATAACAACTGTGCTGACTGAAATTGTACCGTACCAGGCCTGAAGCTAAGAGGGCCGATTTTCTCACTTCTCTTTGTAGCATCGAGACTCACAATCACATAACTAATCAACAACGCTCGAGTTTTACTATACGTTAATACATGTCGTGAAAGTGGACAATCGACACAAGCAAGTTATTGTTGCAGTAGAGTTTGGCAGCTGCATTTGATTACCCTGTCGAAAAGACCATATTTTTCTATGTAGGAAATACAGAAAAAAAAAAAACATTATATTCAACAAACTATAGCTTTCCAATGTCAAATTATATGCATGTTATACATGTGTAGGCTGTAGTGGGGTAGCCAATATGGGGTACAACCCCGTTAGGGTTTTATATTTGTACCAAACCCTGATCTAGTCAATTCATTCCTGCTACTAGATTCTAACATGGTTTCAGAGCACTAGGTCCGTAGGACCGTCTTTTTTTTCCGGGCCCACCTACCGTTGCGGTTACCGCGCTACCTCACGTGTTGTCCTGCGCGCGCCTTCCCCTGCCTTGCCTTGTGACGTGCTGCGCTGCGCGCGCCATCCTGCAGCTCTTGCGCTGCCTACTGTTGCCCTAGCTACGCGCGCACCGCCCTGCAGACCCGTAAGGCCAGCGCGCCGCCCCTGCAGGCTCGTAAGGCCAGCGCGCCGCCACTGCAGGCCCGTAAGGCCCGCGCGCCGCCCCTGCAGGCCCATAAGGCCCGCGCGCCGCCCCTGCAGGCCCGTCAGGCCCGGGAGCCGCCCCTGCAGGCCCGTCAGGCCAGAGCGCCGCCCCGCCCTGCAGCCGACGCGGCCCCGCCCTGCCGCTGACGCGGCCCCGCCCTGCCACTGTCGCGGCCCCGCCAGGTCGCTGTCGCGGCCCCGCCCTGCCGCTGACGCGGCCCCGCCCTGCCGCTGTCGCGGCCCCGCCTTGCCGCCGACGCGGCCCCGCCCTGCCGCTGTCGCGGTCCCGCCCTGCCGCCGACGCGGCCCCGCCCTGCCGCTGTCGCGGCCCCGCCCTACCGCCGACGCGGCCCTGCCTGGCCCCGCCCTGCCGCCGACACGGCCCCGCCCTGCAGCAGCTGCCGCGGCCCTGCCCTGCCGCTGTCGTGGCCCCAGCCCTGCAGCTGACGCGGCCCTATCCTGCAGCCGCTGTTGCGGCCCCGCCGTCGCCGCCGTCGTGCGCCTACCCTGCCGCCGGCCTTGCTCGCCCGGCGAGTGCCTGCCCTTTCCGCCACTGGTGAGCACCTGCCCTACCCGCGCTTCCCGCGCGACTGCCTTGTTAGCGCGCTGCCGCGCCATCTGCCTGCCAGCCTGCCTGCCGCGCCTGCCCTGCCCGCGCTGCTACTGCTGCTACTTCTGTTACTGCTGCTAGGCAGCTGCTGCTGCTACTGCTGCTACTACTGCTACTGCTGCTACTACTGCTACTGCTGCTACTGGCGGTGGCCAGATGCAGCTCCAGCGACGTCCGCGCGAGTCTCTCACGCCCCGGCAGCTTCGTGAGTGGTACGCTAGTTGGGGTTGTGGCGGTAGTCGTCGTGGCTGTCGCCCTGGAGCTGGTCAGTCGGGAGCGTCTGGCAGTGGCCAGCTGTAGCTGCAGCGGCGTCCACGCTAGACACTTACGCCCCAGCAGCTTCGTGAGTGGTACGCTCAGATAAGAGGGTCTCGGAGTACCGTTCGCTGCCTATACGTCATTCGCACAGGTGATCGGGCTGGTAAGGCTTGCGGGACGCTTGGTCACACACAGTCCCGCTGCTTCGCCCGTCTGAGCGACGCCTGGCGTACCGAGTTTGGCGACGAGGCTGAGCTCCCCACCTGGCTGGAGCTGCTTAGGCAGAGGGTAGATATCTTTGCTCTTGACTATGATGCTATTCTCACTACCATGTATGCATTGCCTACTAGTGCTGACGGTGCCTGTTACCTGTGCGTACCGCCTGACCCAGGTATAGAGCCTGCTGCTCTAGGTGCTGGTGAGGCTGCTGCTCTAGGTGCTAGTGCGTCTCCTGCTCTAGGTGCTGGTGAGGCTGCTGCTCCAGGTGCTGGTGTGTCTGCTCTCTCTGGTACTGCGCCTGCTGAGGCCTTGTACACCTTCACACTTCACTCAGGTGCTTCCCGCTCCTTCTTTCGCGACAGCACCACCCTCACGCCACTCAGTCGGCTGGTTGAAGTCTCCCTGGCAGACCCCTCTGGGGGTCCAGTCCTTGCGCACTCCTCCACGGTCCTGCCGTGTCCGGCGGTCCCGTCTGGCTCCCTGTCAGGTCTTCACCTCCCCTCGTTCTCTACGAACTTGGTGAGTGGTGCTGACCTCCAATACCAGTGGGTTGACCAGTTCAATCCTGGAGGTCAGCGCGTGACCCACTGTACGTGCTCCCGGACGGGCCGGCACCTGGCCACGTTTACCAGTGCGCCTGGCTCGAGTCTGTACACACTGACTACTGTGTCCCCTCAGGTCGCTGCGTCTACGTCAGGTCAGCTAGCGGCCCCCTGCTCGTGTCGCGCTTTGTCGCACCAGACCCTCCTTTGGCACCACCGTCTTGGTCACCCCTCGGTGCAGCGCCTTCGTAGCATGCACCGCCGTGTCCTTGTCTCTGGTCTTCCCAGGGTTCTCCCTCCCCTCCCACCCTCGCCTGCTCCTCCCTGTTTTCTCTGTGTCGAGGGGCGGCAGCGCGCCGCTCTTCACTCCTCCTCGTTTCCCCCGACGACTGCTCCCCTGCAGACCCTGCACATGGATGTGTGGGGCCGAGCCCGCGTCAGTGGGCAGGACCGCGAGCGGTACTTCCTGCTGGTTGTTGACGACTACTCGCGTTACACCACGGTCTTCCCCTTGCGCACCAAGGGTGAGGTCCCTGATGTTTTGATCCCTTGGATCCGCGCTGCCCATCTCCAGCTCTGCGAGCGGTTCGGGACGGAGTTTCCCGTCCTGCGTCTGCACTCTGACAGAGGTGGGGAGTTTTCCTCCGACCTTCTGCAGAGCTTTTGTCATAGGGAGAGCATTCGCCAGACGTTCACGCTTCTGGCCTCTCCGCAGCAGAATGGGGTTGCTGGCTTGGTCATGGAGGTCGCTCGTACCTCCATGGTCCATGCGGCTGCCCCCCATTTTTTGCGGCCGTTTGCGGTCCACTACGCCGCGCATCAGCTCAACCTCTGGCCCTGTGTCTCCTTGCCGGAGACCTCGCCCACACTCCGGTGGACGGGGGAGGTTGGCGATGCGTCGGTGTTCCGGGTCTTGGGTTCTCGTGCCTTTGTCCGCGATACCACCGCGGACAAGCTCTCCGCCCGCGCTGTTCCCTGTGTCTTCCTTGGCTTTGTCCCTGACGCGCCTGGTTGGCAGTTTTACCACCCCACCTCGCGCCGTGTCTTCCCCTCTCAGGACGTCACGTTCGACGAGTCGGTTCCCTTTTACCATCTCTTCCCCTACCGCACTGCCCCTCTCCCCCCCCCGCCGCTCTTCCTCGCTCCAGGTGCTCCCCAGGTAGACCCCCTCCCCGCTCCCGGTCCTGCTCCTTCAGGTGTGTCTCAGGTAGACCCTCCTCCCTTGACTGCGCCGGTTGAGGTCACTAGTGACTCCGGTCCTGCTGAGGGTGGTCCTGCTCGGGGTGCTGCTTCTGGGGGTGGTGAGCCTGGGGGTGCGGAGCCTGGGGGTGCTGAGCCTGGGGGTGCGGAGCCTGGAGGTGCTGAGCCTGGGCGTGAGGAGTCTGGGGGTGCTGAGTCTGGGGGTACTGAGTCTGGGGGTGCTGCACCTGGGGGCGCTGAGGCGTCTGGTGAGCAGTCTCCCTGGAACGGTCGTCTCCGTAGTCGCTCCGCTGGTGCCTCGCCGCTGCACTCTTGTTGTCGTCTCCCTCTCTCTCCACAGCAACTGCGTGAGTGGTACGTTAGCCATCAGGGTCGAGCTGCTGGAGTTGGGGGCCCTGCTGCGGGAGGCGCTGGTGTTGGAGGCACTGGAGCCGGCGCTGTCCCTCTCTCCCCACAGCAGCTGCGTGAGTGGTACGTTAGCCGTCAGGGTCACGCTGCTGGAGCTAGGGGCCCTGCTGCAGGAGGCGCTGGAGCTGGTGACTCTGCTACTGGAGTTGTTTCTACTGGAGTTCTTGGAGCAGCTGGTCCCGGAGGTGCTCGTACTGGAGGTACTGGTGTTGCTGGGACTGGAGGTCCTGCTGGACCTGGAGGTGCTACTGTCGACTGTGAGGTTGGAGGCCCTGGAGCTGGAGGTGCCGGTTCTGGGGGTGCTACTGCTGGTGGCGCTAGAGCTGGAGGTTCTGGAGCTGCTGCGGGTGCTGGCACTGGAGGTTCTGGAGCTGTTTGAGGTGCTGGCGC